AAGCAGATTGCAGAGAGCGGTATCACTAGTATGATATAAATCAAGGTTTCAGATATAAATTAATGTGAGATCATAAAGCAGGTTTTACTAGTATAAGAAACTTAGAATGATGAAGAAAAAGTAAAATAAAAGGAGGACAGAAATGCTCAGTTGGTAGAAAATCCTGCTGTGTGGCCTTCAGCAAATGTTCCACTTTTACTGCCTCAGTTGCATTTTATAAAATGTAATAATCTCTTATTGCCTAAAGATGGCAGTTAAATTAGATAATCTCAAGGTCATTTCAGCTCTAGAAAAACAAATTCTTAACCATTATCATTCTTGGATTAACATGAAGTCGTTATCTAAGATGATATTAAAGTGTTTTTCATTTTTTCAAGTAAGAGAATTATACTGAGATATAAATACACTTTAAAATTGCCCAGTTTGTGAGCTTTTCCCAAATATTTTATACACATTTAACTCAAACTTAGAATTCTTTAAGAGAGCACCAAGAGACACAAGGTTTCTAAAGCAGGTAATACAAACTTCTGGGAAGCCTGCTTTCTTTAATAAATTCCTCTTATTGGCAACTAAATAGTAATGAAGATGGAAGACTGAGAATGATTATGTTGAAATGACCCAGAGGCAGGTGTTGGGTCTCTGTTTCTTGAAAAGAATCATGGAATTTAGAATGAGGACAAAAATAAAAACAAAGAGAGATGCTCTACTGAAAAGAGCTTGTTTTTTTAAATTCTTTCACTTAAGAGACAGGCAAAACTTAGAGTGTTTCTGTCTGGGGATAGGGGTCAAGAAAAAAGTGAAGCACATGTTGTTTAGTCATTCAGTCGTGTCCAACTCTTTGTGACCCCATGGACTGCAGTGCACCAGGCCTCCCTGTCCTTCACCATCTCCTGAAGCTTGCTCAAACTCACATCCATTGAGTCAGTGAGGCCACCCAACCATCTTGTCCTCTGTTGTCTCCTTCTCCTCCTGCCTTCAATCTTTCCCAGCATCAGGACCTTCTCTAATGAGTCTGCTCTTCCCCAGGTGGCCAAAGTATTGGAGCCTCAGCTTCAGCATCAGTTCTTCCAATGAATACTCAGGACTCTCAAGAGTCTTCTCCAACACCACAGTTCAAAAGCATCAATTATTCGGTGCTCAGCCTACTTTGTGTTCCAACTCTCACATCCGTGCATGACTACAAATTAGGTGCAGTACTATGTCTATGCGTGGGGAGGAGGTGTGATGCTTACATATTTTTCTTGGTGCCAGGCTGTGATGCACAAAAAGTCCTATCAGTTCAGAAGACCAGGGCCCTCCTTTGTCTTATTAACCACGGGATCTGCAGCACCAAACAAGTAAGTGGATAATAAATAAATGTTTGGTGATTAATAAAAAAGTTACTGAATGAATAAATGCAGCTAAATATTCTAGAACAAATAACAAAAACATGTACACAGGTATACACAACTTTGAGTGAGAATATCTTTTCAACATGGCTTGAATCTGAATAGAGGCCAATAAATTTTAAAAAATTAAAATGATCTAACATATTTAGGCCATATCTGACTTTTTCAAGGAAGCCCTTGGTATGACCATTGGCTTATAGGTAAAGGCCAAAGCAAGTCAGCATATGATACAGATTTTACTGGACTAGTCTATCCTTCTCCCAAAGGAGTGAAATATACATGTTTTAATCAGTTTTCATTTTAGAGCTGACATCCATCAATTCTCTATATAGCTTAGGCAGAGTTACTTGGTGAAAGCATAGTCTTTAAAGGACTGAAAACAGAACTATCATATGACCCAGCAATCCCACTCCTAAGCATATACTCAAGATAAAATCATAATTTGAAAAGACACGTTCACCCCACTGTTCATTGTAACACTAGTTATTACAGTAGCCAAGACATGGAAACAATCTAAATGTTCATCAACAGGAATGGATAAAGATGATGTGGTACATAAAAAGAATGGAGTATTACTCAGCCATGAAAAATAACAAAATAACACCACCTGCAGTACAATGGATGGACCTAGAGATTATCATACTGAGTGGGGTAAGTCAGACACAAAAGACAAATATCACATGATACTGCTTATATGTGTAATCTTTAAAAACAAAAAGGTACAAATGAACCTACATGCAAAGCAGAAGTAGAGTCACAGATGCAGAAAACAAACTCAGGGGATGGGAGAGGGGTAAAATAGGAGATTAGGATTGACATATACACACTACTATACATAAAATAGACAACAAATAAGAACCTACTCAGTACTCTGTAATGACCTATAGGGGAAAAGAGTCTTTTAAAAAAGAGAGGATAGATTCAAGTTGAAACAGTTGATAACATAGTTCTTTAAAATGGCATGCGGATATGGATTTTAGTCCACAAGTTCAGATGTGCAAATGATGTAATGTATCCTACTAGGTGGCAGGATAAAAAAAAAAAAAAAAAAGATCAATTCTTCCTTTCCCAATGTGTGAGTATACACGTAAGTAATTCACTTTGCTGTACCCCTGAAACTAACAGAGCTTTGTAGATCAATGAGACTCCAAGAAAAATTTTTTAAAAACACACTCTATCTTTCGTCTTCCTTCTTGCTTGCCTCACACTCTATCTTTCGTCTTTCTTCTTGCTTGCCTGTACTTGGCAGTTTTGTAGGGCATTTTGGTCAAAATGTGATAGATTCTAACATACCATCATCAATGAGAGGGTGCTAAATAAGCCATCTAAAGCACTGTCCCCAGGTCCCACCATTTTTGCTCCCTCTCCTCACAGATGGGAATGACTATAGAGGGGTTTATGCGGCTGTGCCTTTAGGCTTCATAATCAGCATTCAAGTGTACCGTCTCAATTTAGGATTTGTCAAGTGTTATCAAAACTCACCAACCCTGACAGAATATGGCTTATACTCACAGCTAAAGTTTATTTTAATTCACAGTATAAATAGAAAATAAAAAAAGCCAAGATTTTCTTTCTTCCTTTTTTATTAGAAGCTTAGAGGTCTGATATCAATCAGTGTTTGATAAACAGAGATGACAGTGAGAAAACAATCAAATAATGAACGTAAAATCCATCATCAATGCACAGTCATATTAAGTTACCCACTTCATTGTCCTGTCCTAAGACTTGTACAGACTCTAAGTAAACTTTGGGCTTGTAAATGAGAGACTGTTGACAAATAATAGGAGACAATTAGGAAAGTCTTTTTTCCTTGTCTAACTTCTATATTAGTGAGTTGGAAACACTGTCAGTTGCATAACCATATCCATTCCTGAACATTCCTTACTAACATTATCCTGATTTTATTTATTATAGCAATCAGCTCCAATATCCCCTATAAGTAGGCATACCATTAAAAGTTCAATGAGATGAACTGGAGCTTCCTGTGAAATCTTTTTATTTTCTAATAAAGAGAGTCTAGCATATCTGGCCGGAGAAGGCAATGGCAACCCACTCCAGTACTCTTGCCTGGAAAATCCCATGGACGGAGGAGTCTGGTAGGCTGCAGTCCATGGGGTCACTAAGAGTCGGACACAACTGAGCAACTTCAGTTTCACCCATTGGAGAAGGAAATGGCAACCCACTCCAGCATTTTTGCCTGGAGAATCCTAGGGACAGGGGAGCTTGATGGGCTGCCGACTATGGGGTCGCACAGAGTTGGACACAACTGAAGCGACTTAGCAGCAGCAGCAGCATATCTGGCACCTACCATCCCTTTGAAACTTACTTTGAAGATGAACATAATGTCAGAGGTTGAGATAATGACACAAACAAGCATGACTGTGACACCAAGTAGGCATGGCATAAATAACACGCTTGGCTGCCAGATGACATCCCTGAATGTCTCAACCTAGTAGCTGTAAATGTCTCTCTCATTATTTTGAGAAAAATGAACAAAAATCTGTTTTCTAAAGCTGTACATTTTTTTTTATTAGAAGGTTAAAACAAGCTAGGTGAAAAATACAGTGCAAGTCCTGACAATGGCATTGAAGTTGAAATAGTTGGTAATATAGTTCTTTAAAATGGCATGTGGATATGGATTTTAGTCCACAAGTTCAGATGTGCAAATGGTGGAACTGTCTTTTATTATTCTACTAGGTGGCAGGATGGAAGAAAAAATAAAGTCTTCCTTTCCGAATTCTCCTCCTTCCTTAACAACAGGTGTGGAGTCCCATGCTGTGTTTGGGTCACGGAGTAAGGGAAACCGTCAGTCTTAGCCACCAGTTCACAGGGGTTGAATGGGGATGTCCTTGTGCTTATCAGCATGACCTCTTCAAGTCCACAGGGGTTTTGCTGCCTTATCAGCACAGCATCTATGTTTTTGTGAGAGTGCCTATTTTCTACTTGCCCACATGTACACCATCCTTACACACAGTTTTTAGAATCTTGACATCTCCCGGGCAATGCTCCTAAGCAGACTGTGTGATGTTAGTTCTCCTTTGCCACTTGAAACCCTCAGGTTTCTACCTCCCTCCCTTCCTCCTTTCTTCTTTCCCTCCTCCTCTCTCAAGACCTCCAGGAAGAGTTTTCCAGGTGGTAGAAACCCTTCTCTTTTCCTGAATCATCAAGGGACATCTGTATTTCTAGGAATATTTTGCTATTTCCATTCCTTATTCCCTATCCACCATCCATAAGCATAATACTTTGTTAATTTTCCCAAGGAACTAGGCTTTAAAAACAGACACTGGGTGATAAGTGAAGTCTGCATAAGGGGCGGGCTGATAAGACAGAGGATGAAGAAGAGATCGTGCCAGGATGGTCAACAGGAAAGAAACTGTTGTTCCGGTGCCCCTGAACTAACAACTGAGAATGCTGGAAGGATTCTCAGCACAGCTCTTCAACAGCAATTGTGACATCACTGCCGCCGTCTTCTGGAATTCACTCTTCGTGGAAGAAGAAAGAGGACATCGCCTACTCACCATCTTTCAATAAGCCATCCAGGCCGGACAGGCAGCAACCGGGCGGTGCGGTTCTAGCGTCTCTGGCTACCTGTGTGTTTTTAGACGACCCGAAATGAAGTACTTCTTAAAACCGATCTGCGTTTTTCTTACTTATCTGGTCTGGGCTTTTGGCTTAATCCTGGCCCACAGCAGATCCTGGCGCGTGTGGGAGTTTGACAGCGACATCATTTCCGTCGTGTTCATTGGACTCTGGGAAGCTTTCTACCGGCAAAAATTTAACGTGTCTGGCGTAATGGTTGAGTTACCGATGTACAGCGTGATCAACTCGAGCTGGGTCGTTTCTAACGAAATCTCGTATGGGCAGGGCCTGATGCTGCTGGCGAATTCTATGATGTCGGTGGCCCTGATTTTTAGCTCGGTGGCGCTTCTCGTCAGCAGGGTCGAGGGCCCGTACCCCGATTTCCTCCGATTGTGCTACAGGGCGTCTGCGCTGCTGCTCTTCCTCAGTTGCGCTTGTGCAACAATTACAGTGAGCTGGAATTTCACCGCGGATTTTTATGGCCAAACCACCCTCGACTTTCCAATTACCTTTCCTCTTGAAAGAGAAATGGTAACAAAAAAACATCTCTCCTATGTTTTCCCCCTAGGAATCACAACTTCCATCCTTTTGCTAGTAACTGCCCTCCTATTCTCCTGTGAAAGGTGTTCAATAAAACCACCGAAACGGGTGAATCCCCTGATAGTGTCCAGATGTTGAAGAGGAAAGGTCTGAACAGTGAGTTTTGGAATGGCCGGCAGTCATTTTCTTGAAGACATTTCCATACATACATCCTATTGTCTTAATCTTCTATTCTTTTAAAATAAAATATACTTGTCGTTTCAAAAAGAGCAAAGACAAAATGCTGGGTGCTCTTTTGGTTTCCATCCTTGCATGATGCCCCCTGTGAGGCATTGAAGCCTCCGTCAAGCATGGATCAAGCACGCTGCTTAAGTAGAAGACTGTAGAATAGGAAGCTAGAGAGAGGCAATGAAATCAACCTTAAAAAGGTTACTATATGGAGATCTGGGTAGGGGTGGTGATGGGGCTGGAGTGGGTTACACAGCTAATGGTGCCAAGGATGTGGGCATTTTATGAACTGGGCCAGACAAACTCTCCTTAAGCCATTCCTTGGGGTCACCAGGTAGCTTTTATACCCAAGTTTGTGTCTCAGGGCCGCTGTTCAGGGCATGGAGGAGCAACACTCCAACCTCTGCCTCTGATATCACATGGTCTGCTTCCCTCTGTATATGTGCATCTCTTCTGGATCACTGTCTCCAAATCTCTCCCTGCTTGTAAAGACGCCAATCAATGGATTTGGGGCCCACCCTAACCCAGAATGACCTCAATTTTAAACTTGATTACATCTATAAAACCCCTATTTCCAAATAAAGTTTGTGGGTATATGGATAGAACTTCAGCATATATTCTTCAAGAATATAGTTCAACCCACATGAATCAACATGTTTCTTATTTTTAAAAACATTTTGCATTATGGCTTCTATTATTTGCAGCTGAAGGCATGCTGGTCAATATTCCCTTCCTTCACCTCCTCACAGATTTGGGATACTCATATTTTCCCACAAAATTTGGCTTACCTCATCCAAATTAGTATGAGTATTAGACTGTTCTTAGTTCATTATTCTCTGGCTGCATGTGAACTGTTTTTTTCATCATTCCTTGTAAGCAGTTAGCGGACTGCCTTTGCCTATCACAATTCTGTTGGCAACATTTAGCGAGGAACCTGACATATATTTTTTGTTCTGTAAATATTTGTTGAGTGAATAAGTTAAATAGAATTTGAGAAATACATGAAAGTACAAAGAACTTTTAATCATCCAAAATACCACTACCCATGTGAAAATACAATAAAAAACAATTTGTGTAAATCCTTCCAGCACATTTATGCAGAAGTTTTTTTTTAAAAAAACTCTATAATCATCATGAGTGAGTCAAAGTTGCTCAGTGGTATCCGACTCTTTGTGACACATGGATGGTACCCCACCGGGCTCCTCTGTCCATAGAATTTTCCAGGTAAGAATACTGGAGGGATTTGTCATCCTCTTCTCCAGGGGATCTTCCCAACCCAAGTCTCCTGCATTGCAGGCATATTCTTTACCATCTGAGCCACCAGGGATACTGATTTATAATTGTGAGTCATACCTTTTTCATTTTATATAAAACAAACATTTTTCTATGTTATTTCAGTGTCCACAAACTTTTTAAGTAGTTGTGTAAATTTCATTCAATGATTGTGTGAGAATGTACTTAGCATTCCCTGAAGGTAGGAGATTTAGTATGTTTTTGTTATTTTTTAAGATTTTCTTACATTTATTATTTTTCTACATAAACTTTTTTTTTCTATTTAACATCAATAGAAAACTGACTTAATAAAATTTTAAAGACCCTGAAAAATGCAGGAATTCAGGTCTATTTTATGGACATGAAACTGGAGGAAAACACATCAGATTAGGAAGCAAGCGAACCGTGGACATTCAAGAGGGCACAGCAAGGAGACGAGGCAGTGAGACCCGGCATCCCAACCACGGGGTCGTTTCTCTCTGTGAAACGCGACTTGTTCTCAAGCCACGGTGTCACAGCCTGGTGGCACTCCAGGTCTCATCTGCCTCCCAAGAAATTAAGAAGAGACAAACTCAAGTATAACACACAGGAGTAGAACGTACTATAATTTTCTCTTCTTGGTACCCCATCAGTGAATGCATTTACTGTGATGTACTTATTTAGCTTGTTTCAGGGACATAATCAGGAGTCCCATGCAAGTAAACCATGATAATGCCACCCTTGATAAAAGACTTTTGGTGTAAAGAATTTATACACTTTAAAGAAATAGAATTAAGAATATAGAAAAGAATTGATAGGCTGAGCCTTACATTCTCAGTATAAACTTAAAGTATTAAGTAGATTGAAATCAAAGCAGTGGTGTTTGGGCTCTTTCCTTTTTTTTTTATTATTATGAATTTATAGTTACAGTTACCTTTTATTTTTGACAAGTTGTTCTTAATAAACAGTAGAAGACAGGATGGAGCAGGAAATGGCAACCCACTCCAGTCTTCTTGCCTGGAGAATCCCATGGACAGCAGCCCCCCCAGGCTCCTCTGTTCATGGGGTCACACAGAGTCAGATATGACTGAAGCAGCTTAGCATGCATGAGTGCATTGGAGAAGGAAATGGCAACCTACTCCAGTGTTCTTGCCTGGAGAATCCCAGGGACGGGGGAGCCTGGTGGACTGCCATTTATGGGGTCACACAGAGTCGGACACGACTGAAGCGACTTAGCAGCAGCAGCAGTAGACAGGAACAAAGCCTCACTTGATATTATGGTGTATTTCTAAACATTTTGTTCTTTTGTCCTTTCAACTAAACTCAGCATTTCATCAGTAACCCTATCATGACGGTGAAGGACAGCTCTATAGGAATAAATTCAGTATCAAAATTGACAAGTGGGTCTAGTCCTGGCTCTGCCTCTTCCCTGCTTTGTGATTTAGAACAAAACATACTGTAGTTTTTTTTTTTTTTCCTGGACTTTGGATCCCACATTCACAGATTGTAATGATCGGACATGATCATTCTTTAGATGCACAGCCTTCTAAAAATCTGTGATTCCAAGCAATGCATGATGTAAAGCTACAAAACTAATTTACATTTGTTGAATATTGATTCTATCTTGGCATTAAGGTAATAAACCATAGTCCCAAAGAGTTAATTTTGAAGAGTAAACTGCCATTCAATTCACTGAAGTAGCCTGGGTTCTTGGCAGTCAGATAAATGAAAGCTGAAGTTGTTTACAACAAAAAAATCCAACATCCTTGAAAGTTCTCCATGGTTTATTCTCAAGAAAAAAAGATATTTGTCAAATCCACATATTTCTTCTGTAAAGAAAACAATTTGGATCCAATTGTATATGATCACAGTGCATCTGTCAGAGGTAAAAATATTAAGGGAGACTTCCTAAATATGTCTTACAAATATTTTAGAAATTAAAAGCCTGGCACCATGGCAATGGAGAAATAAATAAAAGCAATGATATTCGGATTATTAAGAAATTCTTGCATTCATTTGTATATAATCTGAACAGTTTTTCTTTACTGAACTGAGGTATTTTAACATGAAATACCTCCATATTCTGCCTCCAGGACTTTAGGAAAATGGACTCCAAGATTATTGCTGTTCTAAAGAGGATACACAGGGTGGTGCCTGTTCCTCCAAGAGCCTGCACTGGCAGATGGCTCATATTCTCTGTTCTCTCTTTTGTTTTCCAATGCTGAAATGTAGAAAGCACAGTGTTGTAAATGATCCTCACATAACTGAGGGAGTGATGCTTCTAACAATTTACAGATATTCAAGTTCAAACAGCCGGGCCCTGGGTATATCAAATGTCATCCAGCCACTAGAAGTTTTAGTAATTATTTCAGGTAGCTGGTTTTGATTACAGCATAATGAGATGATGCTAATACCTGTTCTACAGCTCATCAGGTTGTCCTCTATAATTTTATTAAAAGTTAATAGTTGGTGGGGAAACCACTTTAGTGTCAACAGTCCCCTGTCCTTTACTACTTTTCAGCCTTGCATCAAACTCTAGTACCTGACAGTTCAAATTCTGGCCACTCCTATTCCTCTGCAAAGCTTTATTTACCAGTGAGATGTAGGACCACGGCCAGCCTTTGGAGGAAATATTAATACCTGAGTTCTAATTGCAAAACCAATAGTTCCAAGTAGTAAGGCTGTTAGTAAATTCTTTCACACTTCTGAACTTCCGTCTCCTATTCAGTAAAATGGGGATACTTAGACTATCTTAAGCTTGCATGGTTTCTGTAAGGCTTAAATGAAACAGTACATGTGGAATGATCTATCCCCGTGTCTTAATAAAGTTCATTGGAATGAAATGGGACCTGGAACAATAGCTACACATCAGCTTCTAGAGAATAGCCAGCCAAGAAAAAAGACTAACCATTAAAGACAATGGGAACTATTGTTAACTCTTCTCCTTCAGCGGCAGTCAGATTTCTCTCTCATTTATTCTGAAGTTTGTTTCTGCATAAGGCAAACTTGCTGTAGAATAGCCTGCCTTAAATAGATAAATATGAAAAAAGCAAAAAACATTCACCATAAAGCAAAACCTCACTTGATTCTATATTCCCCTCCAGCTACTACTGACTTCCTCATTTCCTCTTTGTAGCAAAAGTTCTCAACAGAATGACAAATATTTGCTGCTTCACTTCCTCATCTTTTACCTTTAATTAATATTTTACCCCAAGCAATCCAATAAAAAACAGCAGAGGGCATCAAGACAGGGAGAACATTACCAGGATGGGGGTAAAAATCTTCAGACTTTAATATGAGAGTGAGACATACTGGTGAAATGGCCAGAATCCAATTTATTTGCTGTTAGTAAAAATGGACAAATAGCCTAAGCCATTTACCTTATATTTACTTTAGATACTCTGTGGCTTAAGATATACATGATATACATATATATATATGTAAGATATATATATGATATACAAGATATATACATACATATATATGATATATGTAATATACATATGAGATACAAGATATACATATATATGAACTAAACTCTGCTTAATAATTTTTTTAAAAATTGTACATTTGTAATATATTCAGGATTAAACATATGACTTATGTAGAATGATTTAACAGTCCCAAAATCAATGGATGTTCTTCCAATAATTCTCCCC